TTTCTTTTGTAGGGACTGGATTGCTATGTTGCCCAGGCTGGTCTTGAACTCTTGGTCTCTCAAATGATCCTCCCTCCTTGGCCTTCCAAAGTGCTAGGATTACAGGTGTTAGCCACTGTGCCTGCCTGGTCTTGTCTTGTCTTTTTTTTAATACTTTTTATTTTGAAATAATTATAGATTCACAGGAAGTTTCAAACAAAGTACAAAGAGGTCCCATGTGCCCTTCTACTAGTTCCCCTCAATAGTTACATCTCATGTACAATATTAGAACCAGAAAAATGACATTGGTACAATGTGTGTATATAATTTAATGTCATCGTATCATACGTAGATCCATGTAACTGTCCATGTCATCGAGATACAGAACTATTCCATCACCACAAAGATCTCCCTCCTACCATTGATACTTCCTTACTGTTACTATTTACTATCATACTGAATATTAGACATGGGGTTGCAAATATACCACCTAAAAAGTCTTTTAGGGTTCAGAGAAAATATATTACACTTCCAACTCCCCCAAAAGAGATTAATCTCACGACTTTTGTAAGAATTCTTGCCTAAGACTTTTAAGTCTTCCTTCCTCAAAGAGGGAAACTGGGGCATAGATAAGGATTTTTTTTTAAGAGACAGGGTCTCACTCTGTCATCCAGGGTGGAACTTTTGAGCTCCAGCGATCCTCCTGCCTCAGCCTCCTGAGTACCTAGGGATACAGGTGTGTGCCATCATACCTGGCTAATTTTTAAATTTTTTGTAGAGATGGAGGTCTTGCTATGTTGCCCATGCTGGTCTTGAACTTCAAGCCTCAAACAATCCTCCTACCTTGGCCTCCAAAAGTGCTGGGATTATAGGTGTGAGCCACTGCACTTGGCCTGTCAATGACTTTTATAGTTACCTAGTTATCTCATCTAAGAAAGAGACTAAGAAGGTTTTCCCCACTGGCAGCTCCACTCTTGAAAAGGATACAGTTTTCATCACCCTCAGGGTTTCTAGGTGGCCCTGGCATATTCAACAAAACCAACTTTGCTTCATGGGACTTGTTAACTATAACCTCATTGAGCTTCACAGCTGTATGCATCCGCCTCACATTGGACTGGTCCCTGGGTGGGGAAGAAACAAATGGAGGTAATTAAGGCAAAGAGAAAACTATTAAAACTATTAAACAGAGGTAGTTAAGGCAAAGAAAAAAAATATTGACTAGTTATGTAGTCAATATTTAACACTTGAGATCCAGAACTTTTTCACTTGATCATAGGTAATGTGATAAAATTACTTCTTTATGATAATATCCTGGGTTTTCTCATTCTACACTTGCTTAATTTATATTAATACTAGGAACACAGTATGGAGGTGAACCATGTGGAGAGAAAGGATGGTTAGTTTGTGTATAATGTTAACTGAGAGCAAATATGCATAGGCGAACAATAAAGAGATGACTGGATTTGGGGTACAAAGAAGAACAGACTCCATCCTGTGTGTCCAGGCAAAGCCACATCTGTGCCATTGACTAGGTTATTATATTATGTGACAAGCTTGTAAGTGGGAAAACTCACGGACGCATGTTAAGCAGGTCCTGGAATCCTTCCATTGACTTGGCTTTTTGCCCCCGGGATGCCATGTACTTGTCTTTTGTCCAAGTCATGTGCACCTTCTCCTGATAAGTTTCTGTCTCTTCATCCTCATCAGAGCCAATGCTGGTCAATCTTAGCATTGAGTTCCGGTCTTTCACCAGCTGTGCCTGAGGAAGGTCCGATAGTTATTCTATCTAATTTTTTCTCACGCTTCATCTTCAATTATTTTGAAACAATAATGGGGTTCTAGTGGAATAACTGATAAAGTGAGAAGGAAAGAATTTGTTATCCTGTGAAAATAATACAGTATCATCCCTTTCACTGACGGACTTCATGGGGCCAGGATTAGATCGATGCAGTGACATCTCACCTCTCTGTCCCGCTCTGTTTTGGACAGTCGCATGTGCCGGAGCATCTGGGACCTTTGCTCCATCATCAGAGTGCGTTCGTAAGTGTAAGCTGATATGTCACTGTCATGCTGCCACAGATATCACACAAAATGGGCAAAAAGCACAAAGGAGAAAGATGAACCATACATTTTTATTTCTACTCACTAAATTAAACCAGAGACAGTAGCACAATTATCAACCTGAGTTTCACCCCCATTTTGGTCAGTCATTGAGCTACATAAATATTTTTTCCTGTAGATAAAATCTTGAGAGTCTTTTCCATTATCTAGCCATTACATGTGCTGCCTTGAAATACAAAATGCAAACTATTATCTCCCCTCTTTTTCAAAAATGCTGCTTTGCTATTTAAAAAAAAAAAAAAGAACCATGTGTGATTTCAAGCATGAATATATGAATTAAAAATTAATAAAACTATATTAAGCAGATAAGAATCTAGCAGAAATGTAAGGGCTGTGTAATAAACACAAACAAGAAAGCAAAAACAAAAAAAATACCAAACACACATCACATACACATTCTACTTAGGTCAAAAAAATCAGAGTTTTTTTGGCACTGGGTGATTAATTCACATTTATAGCCGAACAATTTCCCAAATCAGAAAAGGTTCAAAGAAGACAGGGTGTGGGGGGATAGGGGATGGGGGATGTGGGAATGTTGGTCTCTTCTATCTTAAACTCAGCTCTCTCACCATCTCCACCACTTCCACCTCTGCCTCAATGCGCAGGTGGTACAGGAAGGTGGCCAGGTCCTTCTTCATCTGGATACTGTTGTCTTCTAGTTGGGCTACTGTGAAGATCCGTATGCTGCACTTTCGCCATACCTGAGAGAGTGCACAGACACATGGAAGATTAGATGCAAGAGGGCAAAAAAGAGTTATTTCCCTAAAACATGAGGCATTATTGCCTAGAACAACCTTGCTACAGTATGAGGGTATTTGTTCCTAGCTTCCTACTTGCTATGTTGTTATACTAGGGCAAAAGACTGATTAAGTAACACATTCGATACAGTTTTAAGGGAGTTCTTAATTTCATAACAAGAAAAAACAGGCAAGAGGAGGCCGAGGCGGGCGGATTGCTTGAGCTCAGAAGTTCGAGACCAGCCTGAGCAAGAGTGAGACCCCGTCTCTACTAAAAATAGAAAGAATTAATTGGACAGCTAAAACTATATAGAAAAAAATTAGCCAGGCATGGTGGCGCATGCCTGTAGTCCCAGCTACTCGGGAGGCTGAGGCAGAAGGATTGCTTGAGCCCAGGAGTTTGAGGTTGCTGTGAGCTAGGCTGATGCCACAGCACTCTAGCCCAGGCAAAAAGAGTGAGACTCTGTCTCAAAAAAAAAAAAAAAAAGAAAAAACTGGCAAGACAAAAAATGGCTTGTGATACATTAAGAGGGTTCTTTACTCAGACAGTACATTGATGATACCATGTATAATATAATATTTACTGTTTTAAATTTCAGTTTCATTAGTCTTACCAAAATATGAGCATACATGTGTATGAAATACACACACACGTACTTTAGGTTTGCAGTATTTGGTTTTTTTCAAAGATGTGTTCACTTCTTATTCTTTTTCCCAAGGGCTCACATAGAACTTTATTTTTTTGAGACAAGGTCTCGCACTTGCTCAGGCTGGTCTTGAACTCCTGAGCTCAAATGATCCACCTACCTTGGCCTCCCACAGTGCTAGGATTACAGGCGTGAGCCACTGCGCATGGCCTGTCATATGGAACTTTATTAATTTGCTTAATTTCACTTAGAGATGGGTAGGTATCAAATACAAACACAACTATTTCTCATAAGGTTGAAAATGGGAGAGCCAAGAATAATACCCAATTCCTGATTCTAAGCCCTAACACTACATAATCAAAGAGGAAGATTTTGTTTAGTGAATCGGGACAGAAGGAAGAAAGACGTTTCGGAGAAGTTGTCTAAAATACCTTGTGCTGTTTCAGGAGGAATGGTAAGAGCATGAGCATCCCCCCATCATGCACAATCCACCACACATCAATGTTGCCCTCGGAAAATTGCTCCACATTGCTGGGAAAGAAGGAGATGTTTTTAGCCACCAGCAGAGCGAGATGGGCAGCAGTTGTCACTCGAACTGTGCCTAGGGGAATAAAAGGAATCAGAATAAGCAGAGAAGAATCCTTATGCTTGTCTTGCTTTTCCACCATGTCAGGAAAGTAAGGATAATGCTCTTTTTACACTTCTTTGAGCAAGGTGCTCTATTTATGTAGGTTACACCTCATTAAGTAACCAAAATCATTGAGAAAAATCTGAATAGCTAACAGACTTAGACTGAGAACCATGGTTTATGTTATTGGATATATTCTGATTACTGCATTTCTAAGGGGGGATATGTGAATTGGGAGATTTTGATGCTGAAGAACAATCCTTGCAATTCCTGTGAGAACATCAATGTGGGAAATCACAGATGAAAACACGGCCATTTTGGAGATGATTCCTAGCACAAGACTTGACAGAGGTAAACAATTCATGAACATCATGTAAAGCTAGAGCGGGTAGGTAGAATCTAGTTATCACTACTAGTGGTTTTTTAGGTGGCCTTCTAAGACCATGTTTCAGAAATGGCACAGTCGCTTACTTTAGGAGGCTAGGGGGTGACAGACATTTAACTATATCCCCCATTTGGGCCCTTGGATTTGTACAAGAAATGATTTGTACCAATAAACGTCTTCCAAGCACGAGCATCTTCACTTTGCCGCCAGCCGTTAGGCCAGCCCATCACCACCGTGTTGTGCTTCATGCCCCCAAGTCCGCAGGACTGGATGAGGTGGGAGATGCCCTCTCGCAGCTTGGCAGCCACCACTAGCTGGCAGAATCCTTTTACCTTCTCTGCCTCCATGAGGTGCTTTATGGTCTGAAAGAGACACAGGACGTCAACACTGAATTGCTTTACTCTGGACCTTTTACCCATTAATCCTTCTCCATATTATATTCCCCTCCTCTTTCTAAACTCTGCGTAAGATTGTATCTCTTATAGAAAACTCCAAAAAGTTAAAATTATCTGATGACATTTCATGATCCTTTGTCTTTTTCACTAAGTGCTTACTTTATATTTTTTACAGCTATAGCTAGTTGTCTACATGTAGTTTCGCTGCCTTTTCCTCTATTCTGCTTTTCTTCCTTTGTAACATATCAAAAATTGAGAATGGTGATCTCCACATGGTGAATATTCAGCATTCTTTCTCAATTGACTGGGATGATTCACTCGTCTGAACACGATCCCCTTCCTGCCTCAGCTCCAGTCATGCCCTGACTTATCTTACTAGAAATTTAATCTGATGATTCAGTTTCACTTTAGAATTTTCTCAGAAATGTTTTCTTCTTCTTTTTCTTTTTTTGAGACAGGGGCTTGCTCTGTTGCCCAGGCTAGAATGCAGTGGCATCAACACAGCTCATTTCAAACTCCTGGGCTCAAGTGATCCTCCTGCCTCAGCCTCTGAGTAGGACTACAGGCATGCATGCACCACCATGCCCAGCTAATTCTTCTATTTTTTGTAGAGACAGACTCTCACTTTGTTGCTCAGGCTGGTCTTGAACTGCTGGGTTCAACTAATCCTCCTAAAGTGCTAGGATTATAGGCGTGAGCCACCACACCTGACCCCAGGTATGTTTTCTTTTTTGCCTCTCCCTTTTTGACATTTTAATGGTGATTATTGATGACACTTGTATTTGCTTTACTATTCTTTTATTTAGTCAAGCCAATTTGGAGATAATATCTCATTCATTCTTACTGCACCCTATTGGTGGAAAAAGAAAAGGCATAATGGTGTGGAAAATGGAACGATTTTCTCAAAAGCACAGATTAAGTCAGTGATATGGCTAGGATAAAAACCAGGCTCTCATGATTTACAATCTTGTGTATTTTTTTTTTGAAACAGGGTCTTGTTTTGTCGCCTAGGCTGGAGTGCAGTGGCCTCATCATAGCTCACTGCAACCTCGAACTCCTGGACTCAAGCCATCCTCCTGCCTCAGCCTTTGGAGTAGCTGGGTCTACAGGGGCACACCACCACGCTTGGCTTATTTTTCTGTTTTTTGTAGAGGCAGGGACTTGCTCTTGCTCAGGCTGGTCTGGAATTCCTGGCCTCAAGCGATCCTCTCACCTTGCCCTCCCAAAGTGCTAGGATTACAGGAGTGAGCTCCTATGCCCCGCCATAATCTTGTGTACTTTTTATTAATTATTACCATCATCCTGGACTAATGTTTCTTAGCATTTCTAGTTTTTAGGATTTCAAAGCATTCCAAAATGCAATCTAGTAAAATTTCTGAAATTCGATCGAACATTTCTCTAAATAGTAAGATTAGTTTTATCATTTATAGTATTAGAGTGAAAACTAATTCTTTCTTAAGGTAGAACTTTAATGTTCAGTACAGCTAATTAGAAGCAGCAAAGGAACTTGCTCATGATACCGCATAGATTAGTAAAGGGGAAGAAAAGTTGCTCATTGCTCCTTATTGTCACAAGATTGAGAGAAACCCTCCCCCCATAGTTTAAGAGATAGATTTATTTACATGACTTCTCTCAGTTCTCAGATCAATGTTTGCATCTGGAAATAATGTTTAGCTTTAATAATTTTACAACTTAGTATTGCTTTAAATGAGAAGAAAGAATTAGTAAATATCTTTTGGCTTATATTATTTGGGAGAAAATGACTGTTTAAAAGTCAACGCTAAGTGGGAAACCTCCTAGATCATTCAGGAATGAGATTAATTTAGAAGCCTGTTTAACACTGCAAAGCTATAAGCAAAGTTGCACTATATCAAAAGTCTTGATTCTTACCTGCTCAGCTGCTAAGGCTTCACCATAATTCTCTAGGAAGTTCCCCACGATGACAGAGCCCACAATAGTGAGACCCTTTCCTGCTTTGAGCTGTGAGGCAAAGGTGAGGAGGCGAGGATGCTTGACGTGTAAGTCTTCATCTAGTTTCAGCAATACAAGCAACTGAGGCCTGTGAAGAGGTTGGTGGGGGGTGGAGGGAAAAAAAACACTTTGGGTTTGGGGAAGAGAATGACAAATTTCACCTTTTAATTCAGGAGATCTGTATAAAACATATAATTTGATAGAAGGAAGAGATCAGAGGAAATGACAGGATGAGAGTATTGGGTTATTCTGAATGCTCCCAGCATTATCTCAAGTTGATCAGTCTTCAAGGTGGAGTAAGGTAAAAATCTAGAGCATAAATCACACAAAGAAAAGGGAATAAAGAAATCGAAGATTTTAAATAGTCCAAAACAGGTCTATTATACAAATTCCTTCAGCCACATAATTGCCTTATCCTATAATCAACGAAGCACACATTTGTGTGTGTTAACTGTGTGCCAAACACCACTGGTGCTGCTTTCTTTACCTCCAGTTCTTAGTGTGTGGAGGTCCTTCCTCCAGCCGAAGCAAAGCAAACCGGGCTGCGCTGAGGGACAGCCCTCGGATGCCATCACCCCATTCTTTCTCAGCTCTGGGAGAAAAAGGAGAAAAGAGCAGAGACAGATTTAAACTATAGTAAGTATAACTTAAAAAATAAAAGTTTATTTTTTTCTGAATCTAAAAGTAAAATACACAAGGTAGAAGATTAAAACTCAGATTAATGATTTATATATAATGCTTTTTCTAACATAATGAACACACTGTTGGCAGATCAACATCACCCTGCACCAACAGACTGCGTTGCACAAACAGTTCAGAATAAAGCCTGAAAGGTTCATTCACTTGGTATTTCTATGGAACAGTTCAAAAGCAATAATGTAAAACAGCAATTTGGATTAGAAAATTAGTACAGGCCCAGAGTTTAAGTTATTTTGAAAATAATGAGGAGAAAATAAAATTCAATGTAATCTTCTGAATCAGAATGTTATTTATTCCTTATTTTTGGAAGTTGTTAGTGAGGTCTTAATTGTTAAAGTTATTCAGGACTAATCTCTTTTTCATTTCAGTCAATCCCTTGACCAAAGAAACCAGGAAAACTATTTTTATTTGTGTTATATTTTGTTTAGTGCTGATCATTATTATTTGGATATGTCCTTTCAGTTGTTTTTCATTGATCCATTCATACTTTCTCAACAGGTTTCCCTTGTGATGAAAAGCTTGCATCTATAAGACGGTTAAGAGAATTGGGGTGCAAAATTTAGTTATGAAAAAATGAAGTTACCTAGGTCCTTAATGTAATTTTCATTGAGCTGGCCCTAACCAAACTAGCTAGTTTTGCTACTTTTTGCAGAGATCAAGGTCAATCCACACTCACCCTTGGTACTCAATGTACTTGTAGATCATACCAGCTATTACCATAGCTACAATGGCGTAATACCAGGAAGAAATGAACATCAGAGCCAGACAGATACTCATTCCCATGAAAGAGAGGGCCCTAGAAAATTAAAAAACACATATACAAAAAAGTATCTTTTTAAGCAGCTGAAAAAGAAGCCTGTGCTACAGGTGCTTCTCAAACTATCTGTGGTGAGGGATTATTTTCTAACAACATTTCCAGTCTATTACAGAGAGAACTTTTGTAAAATGCAATAAAAATGAATTATTAGAAAAATTATCACACGCCTGGATGCAGTAGCAATGTCAAATTGCTATAAAAGTTTCTAAATGCTTACTCTCAACTCTACAGGTGTCTTTTCATGGACTGGCAACTGTCAGTAGATGTGCACTGAGCCCCAAACTATGTTTTGCACTAGAAGATGTTTCCTATTGCTGAAAAAACATAAATGAACAGGACACTATGGAAGTCATCTGTAGTTATGAGGACGATTAATACTTGGCAAAGTAGGGATGGGATATGCAGTTAGAAATGTTAATAACTCTATAATATTTTTAAAATTTTCATGTAAATATTCCTAAAATTTTTATGAATATTAGTATAATTGTAGAATCCACTGAGAAAATTTTAACATTAGTTTCCTAACTGTACATAAGAGAAATGTGGCAGAGAGTAATGAAATGCTTATTTTGGTCAATAAATCAGGTAGAAAACTACATTTACTGAAGTTTTTTCCATGTACAGAATGAACCTCTTAGATCTATGATGAATTTTAAAGAAAAAATGGGAGAGTTGTTAATCTGGAGAAAATTAGGATCTAATGAAAATATAGGGTGGTAAAGAGAAAGATAAAAAATTAATAGAAGCAAAATAGCAACACAAAAAAATTGTTTGTAATGAACTTTTAACTAGAGTTAAAGCTAGAAAGAGGGCCAGAGGCATTAAAATCAGTTGAAGATCTAAATTTTTGCCCAAGAAAGATCACATCAAAAGATCACATCAGGCCGGGCGCGGTGGCTCATGCCTGTAATCCTAGCTCTCTGGGAGGCCGAGGTGGGCGGATTGTTTGAGCTCAGGAGTTTGAAACCGGCCTGAGCAAGAGTGAGACCCCGTCTCTACTAAAATTAGAAAGAAATTAATTGGACAGCTAAAGATATATAGAAAAAATTAGCCGGGCATGGTGGCGCATGCTTGTAGTCCCAGCTACTCAGGAGGCTGAGGCAGGAGGATTGCTTGAGCCCAGGAGTTTGAGGTTGCTATGAGCTAGGCTGACGCCACGGAACTCTAGCCTGGTCAACACAGTGAGACTCTGTCTCAAAAAAAAAAAAAAAAAAAAAAAAAAAAAAAGATCACATCACTGTCCACCACTGGTAAGTGAAGCCAGAAAGGAATCAAGGAGAAAGTTAGCAAAAAGAAATGTTGCAACCAGTAAACCAGTACATATAAGGATATAATTTCATTTTTATTTTTTTCTAGCTTCTTCTTTTAATGATGACTGAAATTAAAGATGAGCTACCTTTCTTTGGCCATTTATTCACTAAATAGCTGGTGATTGGAATCCCATCCAGATGTGGTTAATTTTGTAATAATAAATGTCCTTTTATGGTTCTTCTCCGGAATTTGTAATAAAAAGTGATTTGCTTGAGAATGGTTCATTTTGCACTACAAGTAAATAATTGACTGAATTTGTAAACACTTATATTTGAAAGTATAACCAATTAGAAACATCCTATAGAAAGTGTGAGCTAGCTTTGTCATTCCCTCCTTGACAAGGAACTTTAGCAATTGTTCTGTGGACAAAGACGATTAGTAAAAGGGTCTCAGCTGTTCTCTTTGCTTAGTTTTCCACTTCCTCTATGTTTAGTAAAGTAGGAAATTTAAAGTGTGAACCTACCATTCCTCTTTTTATTTTGGAATGGGAAGTAGTCCAGACTGAACCAAAATGGGATTACCATTTACTGGCCAGGCACCTATGTGGAATCAGGGAGAATGTTTCTGGGAAATTTCTGGTGGGTGATATTTCTTTTTCTTTCTTTCTTTTTTTTAATGCTTTGATTATTTTATTTATTTATTTAATTCAGGAATTTCAAAACATTAAGGGGGTACAAAAATTTTCGTTACAAGGATATACTCTATAATGCTGCAGTCAGGGCTTTCAGTGTGCCCACCACCAGGACAGCGTTCATTGTACCCAACAGGTAAGTTTTTATCCCTCACCCCACCCCTGCCCTCTCCATATAGGACATAATTAAAGAACGCTTAACTATGAGTGAAAAGTGACTCTAAAGACCTAAAAAACTTTGATGGCTCCTTCAGGACTGAAGAGACTCAACCGCAACAACAGCAGCAGCAATATTTCATTGGGAGCTTTACTGTGTACCAGGTACCATGCTAAGCACTTTAGATTTACTAGTCCCATTTTACAAATGAGTAAAATGAAATTGTGCGTGGTTGTGTGCTCTGCTGAAGGTTACAAAGCTAGGAAATAGTAGAGCTGAGATCTGAACTTGGGTGACCTGATTCTACAGCCCTAAATGGGAAATGGGAAAATAGATTTGCAAAGGGAAGCTTGTTTTAACCTGAAGAATGTAGCAGTCTAGAAATATTTACTTTGTAGTTTTGATCTTTATTCTTAGTGGGTAAGTTATTATAAAGTGATATAGGAAAAATGGGATAGGAGGATGGGGATTCAGATGAGAATTATAAGTTGAAACAGACAGTATGGAATGGTTGGCCATCAACAAAAAAATGTATCAAGAACCCAAAGTCTCCTGGTTTTCTAGTTCAATGATGTGGGTAAAAAGAGGAAGAAAAAAAGCAGACTTACCAGTGGTAGTAGCGGAATCGGGGTCTCCAATTCGGTGTTCTAAGTAATGTTTGCAAGGCACATGCCAAGTTCACAAAGAGGTAACACATGAGAAAAAACCTGTTAGAATAAAAAGAGTAAGAGGAATGATTATAATTATAAAATAATTTTTTTAAAGTGTGAAAAGAAGTTTTTTGAGGAAGGGCAAGATAGGTTTACAGAGCAAGATATAGGTTTACAGAGCAAGAGCAAGATATGTTTGCCACAGAACGATAAACAGAAACTTCTGTTATAACAAAAGGGCTATAATTGTAAAATAATTTTTTGAGGATTATTTTAAGTAACTTTAGGAGACCTTTTGCCTGTTTCTAGTCCACTAAGCCTTGATTAAGTAGGAAGCAGAGAAATTTACACCTCTTCCCACAAACCTGCTCATCCTCCTGTTTTCTCTCTCAGTCAATGACAACCACTCTCCACCCAATTGTTCTTGGGATAATCCAGGTTTCTTCTTCCTTACTTACCCTTGTTCCAAATTCACTTGTCAAATCCTGCAAATTCTACCTATTTAAAAATCTCTAAACTTCTTTTCTTCCTTTTCATCTCCTATCACCTTAGTTCAGGCTCTCATTTCTTCTTTACAATTATCACTCCCAGCTCAATTCTAGTCTCCTAATTCATCTTTTTTTTTTTTTTTTGAGACAGAGTCTCACTGTGTTGCCTGGGCTAGAGTGCTGTGGTGTCATCCTAGCTCACAGGAACCTCAAACTCCTGGGCTCAAGCGATCCTCCTGCCTCAGCCTCCCGAGTAGCTGGGACTACAGGCATGTGCCACCACGCCCGTCTAATTTTTTCTATATATTTTTAGTTGTCCAATTAATTTCTTTCTAATTTTAGTAGAGACGGGGTCTCGCTCTTGCTCAGGCTGGTTTCGAACTCCTGAGCTCAAACAATCCGCCCGCCTCTGCCTCCCAGAGAGCTAGGATTACAGGCGTGAGCCACCACGCCCGGCCCTAATCCATCTTTTATACCAAACAGATCATATAAAACATAATCATTTTGTTCTCACAGGATTACCCAGCACTTCCAGGTTCAAGTTCCAGGGCCTTTGTGATCTGGTTCTACTACCTCTCTAGCCTATTATTTCCCCAACATGCTCCCTCCACTCTAGCCAAGTCAAACTACTTTTAATTCTCCAGATGTGCTACATTATTTCATTCCTCTATTGCTTTATACACATTTCCTGACTGGAACATTCTTCACCCCTTTATTGCTTAGAAAATGACCAGTCATCCTTCAAGATACAAGTGTCACTTCCTCCAGAAGATCCTTCTTGAGTCCCAGTCTGTTTAGATGCCTTGCTTTGGTGTTCCTATGGCACCCAGTGTTCACCTTTACCACGGTATTCATCACACCATACAGGGATCATTGGTTTCCTTATCTATTTCAGTTCCTTAAGATTGTGTCTTATCCATCTTTGCATTCCCAGAATACTGTATTACACAGGGTCAGGTAGGTAGTAAGTCATCAATAAGTCACAAATGAATGAATAAAAAGCTAACAGTAGTGGTAAAAGCTACAACCAATTGATAATGAATCAGAAATGAAGGCAAAGAACTTTTGATGTTATATAGATAGGAAAAAAACATAGTAAGTTATAAAAGTGAGCCTTACATGAAAGTTCTCAGGAATGTTTTTTAAGTGAAATTACAACTGTATTTGGCCTATTCTGTTGTTATCACTACTGTTATATTATAAATGGAAATTAACATGTATTATAACATATATCTAAACAAGAATAACTGAAGAAAATAACCGGCTCTTACATGGAAAGAATTGGGGCCACGAGATCCAGGGAGGCGATAAGGATTCCCAGCTCTGCAATGGCAGCAGTTAGAAGTAAAGCCCAGGTAGGTTCCCCATTGGCTTTGCTGTGGCCAAAAACCTGTCCATAGAAGAGAAAAATATCAGACATAGGAGAGTTGAGTCAATGCTCCTGATTCCTCTATCTTACAGTTTCAGACATCTGGAAGATAATGGTGTTACAACTGTGATATTTTTGAAACACCTTTACAGAAATCACATAAAAACTCATACTAGGGATTTAGAATGTCTTGTACTAAGACCCTACGTCTTCACATTTATGATCTAGTAATTCCTAAGCCCACAAAGACCACACTGTTCTTCATAAAACCTGGGAAAAAAGAAGAGGGCATAGAAAAGGGTCACTCACCCTCAGAAACGGTATAATGTTATCCTTGGCGATAGCCTGTAGCAGCCTTGGTGCACCTGTGAGGCTCTGAAGTCCAGCCCCACATGTCGAAAAGAAGGAGCCAATAACAATCACCCACGGGGACGGCCAGGATAAGGTGCCCACCACCAAATTACCTTTCACAGCATCCCCAAACCTGGGAAAGAAACAGAGTGGGTAAATTTAATCTGGAAGTAACTTTAGACTGAAGACTAGAGAGACATTTACCTTATTTTTTTCTATTTTTAATTTTTAGAGAATCAAAATTGAGATAGACATGAATATTAAGAAATGTAAAGGTAAATGGATTTGATTAAAAGGCACTATTGGAAA